CCCAAATGGGTCCCCAAGGTCCCGGATGGGTCCCCGAGGTCCCGGATGGGTCCCCGAGGGTCCCGGCTGGGTCCCCAAGGGTCCCGGATGGGTCCCCAAGGGTCCCGGATGGGTCCCCAAGGGTCCCGGATAGGTCCCCAAGGGTCCCGGATGGGTCCATAAGGGTCCCGGATGGGTCCCCAAGGGTCCCGGATAGGTCTCCAAGGGTCCCGGATGGGTCCCCTAGGGTCCTAAATGGGTCCCCGAAGGTCCCAAATGGGTCCCCGAGGGTCCCGAATGGGTCCCCGAGGGTCCCGAATGGGTCCCCGAAGGTCCCGAATGGGTCCCCGAGGGTCCCCAATGGGTCCCCGACGGACCCGAATGGGTCCCCCAGGGGCCCAAATGGGTCTCCAAATGTTCAAATGGGTCCCCCAAGGTCCCATTCGTTGTCCCTAGGTCCCAAATGGGTCTCCCAGGGTCTCAAACCCATAGGGACCCTGGGGACCCATAGGGACCCATAGGGACCCATAGGGACCCATAGGGACCCATAGGGACCCATAGGGACCCATAGGGACCCATAGGGACCCATAGGGACCCATAGGGACCCTAGGGGACCCATAGGGACCCATAGGGACCCTAGGGGTCTCATAGGGACCCTAGGGGACCCGTGGGACCCCAGGGGACCCATTTGGGACCCTAGGGGACCCATTCGGGTTCCTGAGGGACCCACCAGGGACCCTTGGGGACCCATTTGGGACGCTGGGGGACCCATTCGGGACGCTGGGGGACCCATTCGGGACCCTGGGGGATCCATTCGGGACCCATTCGGGACCCTGGGGGACCCATTTTGGACCCTAGGGGACCCTTTTTGGACCCTGGGGGACCCGTTTGGGACCCTGGGGGACCCATTCCGGATCCTGGGGGACCCATTCGGGACCCGTTTGGGACCCTGGGGGACCCGTTTGGGACCCTGCAGGACCTTATCGGGACCCTGAAGGACCATTAGGGACCTGGTGGGGACCTCTAGGGACGCGGTGGGACCCCGCGACCCTAGCGGAATTTTCGGGACGTATTCCGGACGTCCCGAGAGCGTCAGGTTTTTCTCATTATGGATGGTCTCAGGACGCGCCGGCTTCGTCCATGGATCATCCCGCATGTGTCCTTACGTATCCGGAGACTCAATCGAGGTGTCCCTCCCGCATCCAGAAGGTATCGTCAGTGTCCGTCCGTCGTCCAGCCATCATCTGAAGCGTATGCCGACTGTCCCAGGTGCATCCCAAATGTAGCCAAAATTAATCCACAATGCATCACATTCGCCTCCACTCTCTATCCCACCCCATACGTTTCACAATCTGCCGGAGATTCCGAATAACGTCCAGTGCGTATCCGCTCCATGCCAGATGCATCCTGAATGCATCCGAGGCGTCCTGAACGCATCCAGAGGTACCCGGACCGTCCCAGAACCATACCAGATGCATCCCACCCGCTTCCAGCTGTCCGCTCGGCGCCCATAATGCAGCCGGGGTGTTTTGAGCACGTCCAGAAGGTATCCGGACCGTCCCAGAGGCAACCCGAGTGCATCCAGTCCGCCTCCAGCAGTCCTCTCAGCGTCCACACTGCAGCCGGGGCGTCACGAGCGCGTCCAGAAAGTCTCCGAACCATCCCAAAAGCATCCCGAGTGCGTCCCACCCGCCTCCGTCCGTCCTCTCGACATCCAGAATGCATCCCAACCACACCCATCGCATCTTGAAAAAATCCAAAATATTTGAATCGCATCCAGATCGCATCCATTGCACATGCGAGGTGTGGTAAGGGTAGGTGCCGGATGTCGTAGTGATGCTTTGCGGATGACCCCCGTGCGCTGGATGAGTTAGGAGACTTCCGGATGAGGATGCGATGGATCTTTCTTGTGGACTGGCGTCTGGAAGTGCTGGGTGTCTTCTTTATGTGTGATGAACGTCTTGAAGTGGTGCTACTTTGCCGGGAGTTGAACCCGGTCCCTTCCGCTTGCTGGTCGACTGCTTAAGCCCCTCGGCCACCGCTTCCTTCTTAGAGGAGAAAGAACTTTGAGTACTCTTAAGCTTCATGCAAAAGTGGCATCCACCCACCATCCTTGTCTCGTCATCACCACGAATCACGAAGCATCCCCAAGCCATCCTCGCATCCTTGCCATCTCAGAGCCATCCGCCTCGTATCTCTGCATCCACGTGGCCAAATTGAATCACAGTAGCATCCTAGTATCCAACCGTTTGACGCATCCCTGGCGCGTCCATGGCGTCCGCCTTCTTCCGCAAAGCATCCCCAAAACATCCAGCGCGTCTGAGCGCGTCTGCAATGTACCGTAAGCATCCGTAAGGTATCCAGACGACCCACCCTCATCCTGAGCGCATCCGTCGGCCTCCAGTCTATCCCAGCAATCCATTTAGCATCCCCAGTGCATCCAGGGCGTCCTGTAGGCGTCCAAAGCGCATCCGGACCGTCCCCTCGGCATCCGAAATGCATACCGTCCACCTCCAGCCATCCTCTCGTCATCCGGAATGCATCCGGGGCGTCCTGTAGGCGTCCAAAGCGCATCCGGACCGTCCCCTCGGCATCCGAAATGCATACCGTCCACCTCCAGCCATCCTCTCGTCATCCGGAATGCATCCGGGGCGTCCTGTACGCGTCCTGAGAGAAGCTGGAGTGTCCGAAAGGCATTCCGAAAGCATCCAGGACATCCAGGATGCGTCTTCAGTACATCCGTCGCATCTTGGATGCATCCAAAAGACATCCAGTGCATCCAAAATGCGTCCAAAGGACATCCAACGCATATAGGATGCGTCCAAAGGATATCCAACGTATCCAGGATGCGTCCAAAAGACATCCAATACATCCAGGGTGCGTCCACAAGACATCAAACACATCCAGACCACATCCGCAACATCCAGATGGCATCCAAATCACATCAGTGACATCCAGATTGCATCCGAAACACGTCCATGGCATTCATTCTGCGTCAACGCATGTTGGGAGACTTTTGGATGGGCTGGATGTGATTTGGACGCGTCGGAGACCCATGTTCCGACCACTCTTTGAAAAGGTCTCAACAAGATCTATTCAAATCAACAATAAAAATTTTCAGTTGGTCACCCCCCTTTTTTCAAGATACTGATTTTTAAACTCTATCTTGAAAAAAGGGGGGTGACCAACTGAAAATTTTTATTGTTGATTTGAATAGATCTTGTTGAGACCTTTTCAAAGAGTGGTCGGAACATGGGTCTCCGACGCGTCCAAATCACATCCAGCCCATCCAAAAGTCTCCCAACATGCGTTGACGCAGAATGAATGCCATGGACGTGTTTCGGATGCAATCTGGATGTCACTGATGTGGTTTGGATGCCATCTGGATGTTGCGGATGTGGTCTGGATGTGTTTGATGTCTTGTGGACGCACCCTGGATGTATTGGATGTCTTTTGGACGCATCCTGGATACGTTGGATATCCTTTGGACGCATCCTAGATGCGTTGGATGTTCTTTGGACGCATTTTGGATTCACTGGATGTCTTTTGGATGCATCCAAGATGCGACGGATGTACTGAAGACGCATCCTGGATGTCCTGGATGCTTTCGGAATGCCTTTCGGACACTCCAGCTTCTCTCAGGACGCGTACAGGACGCCCCGGATGCATTCCGGATGACGAGAGGATGGCTGGAGGTGGACGGTATGCATTTCGGATGCCGAGGGGACGGTCCGGATGCGCTTTGGACGCCTACAGGACGCCCCGGATGCATTCCGGATGACGAGAGGATGGCTGGAGGTGGACGGTATGCATTTCGGATGCCGAGGGGACGGTCCGGATGCGCTTTGGACGCCTACAGGACGCCCTGGATGCACTGGGGATGCTAAATGGATTGCTGGGATAGACTGGAGGCCGACGGATGCGCTCAGGATGAGGGTGGGTCGTCTGGATACCTTACGGATGCTTACGGTACATTGCAGACGCGCTCAGACGCGCTGGATGTTTTGGGGATGCTTTGCGGAAGAAGGCGGACGCCATGGACGCGCCAGGGATGCGTCAAACGGTTGGATACTAGGATGCTACTGTGATTCAATTTGGCCACGTGGATGCAGAGATACGAGGCGGATGGCTCTGAGATGGCAAGGATGCGAGGATGAGTTGCGGATGGTTCGTGATGAGATACGTGGACACAGGTGGGACGATTTCGGAACGCAGAGATGCGGTGGATACGTCATGGACACCTTATGTTTTTCTGTCTGGAATGCACAGGACCTAATCTTGATGCGCGTAGGACGTCATTGGATAAGTTGGACGAAAGTAGGATGGCCTGCAGGATGCGTGGATAGCTGTAAGATGCATCTAGTAGGTCGTGGATGTACGGGATGGCAATTGGACGAATCCTGGACGTCCTATTCGCATCCAGCATTCCAGCAGGGGAGGACCCATCCGGGACCTAGCAGGGACGCAAAAGGGACCGGCGTGTGACCTCCAGCGACCATCGGGGACTTATCTCTGGGACCTGCCGAGACCTGCCTGGGACCTCCTGGCGTCCGTAAATGAGATTCGTGGTAACGTATAACACTTAATCGGATTTTTATTCGTAAAATAACGGACATTTTTCTGACCGTGTAGAGGCAGTGCTTGAAACGTGTGGGAAGCCGTCTCAGTCCCTCAAAAGACCTCTTGCTCAATCCATTGTGTCACATTCGTTTGAGTGTGTGTGAATTAGCCAAAATTCAGCTTGTTCACATTCAAACGAACGTGACATAATGCTCAAACGAACGTCACATTTTGTCACGTTCGTTTCAACGTGATGTCACGTTCCTGGAATGAGAGTGTAGAGTCGCTAAATGGGACTGAAACCGAACGTGTGACCCCACCAATGGATTCCTTGTTTGGACAGCAATCCATCGGTGGGGCCACACGTTCGGTTTCAGTCCCATTAAGCGACTCTGGAGCTCAAAACGCGTCTAGAGTTTTGGCCGCCTGCCCCGGTCGTCTGGCCCACTGTGGGACCCTACCTTGCGACAGCAGCATCTCCCGCAGGAAGGGCACGATAAAGCCATGCCGCAGCGTCACCAGGTTGGGCGTGGTGCCGGGGAACAGCTTGCGGACCCCGACCGCGTCCGTGCTGAAGCTGCCAACACAACAACGCTACATCAAAGTCAAACCGGAGCTGCCAACACAACAACGCCACATCGAAGTCAAGCCGGAGCTGCCAACCCCGAGTGAATCTCGACCCTGTAAATTTGACGTTATTTTGCTGTTTCACGAACGTCACATTAACTTCGTATTAACGGCTAAAATAAGTCATAAATTAACGGGAAAATAACGTCAAAATCATTTGGTGTAAACACGCCGTAGATTTGACGTTTTTTTTTACCGTAAAAGTGGTAGAATTTACCCCAAAAAGCGTCAAATGAACGGCGAGATCTAGGGACCTTTGGGGTGGTGGGGGCAGTGTTGCCACATCGTCCGATAGCTCCTACGACGTCATCGTCGCGCGCCAAATCGCTGCTGGTTCAAATCTGGCTTTCAATTCCCCCCCCCCCCCCCCGCTTGCCGTCGCCCTCCTCCTCTTTTTGTCTTTGCCATCTGAAGATGCTTGTTCGATCAAGGATTTTTATCGAAGTGAAGAAAAAACACAAAGCTTTCTTAAGTACATCATTTTTTATTCCAAAGCAAGTCCCATGTCTTAAAAAACTAATCATACTAATTTTGGCATTTCAAGACTCAATCTCAATCTTTAACTATCTGTACAAAAATAAATAAATATTTTCAATTTCAAAAAGTTAAAATAACCTTAAATAATTTTTACCAAGATAAACAATTAACAAATATTGCACAGCAATACATAACTGGTTTAAAAAATTTACTGAGTTGGACTTCAACCCCCAAAAAAAGGAACAAAGAGGTACTACCTCTTCGACAAGATCAAGCAAATGGTGGCGAACTTGCCATGCTTCTCTCCTTTGCCCCTGGCTTTCAAGGTAATTTTTTAAATCTTTGCAGTTGATTTTGTTTGAAAATTTAGCAATTGAAGCAATTATATTTTGTTCCGATTTCACAGACTGAAGTATACAAGGGCACTAGTGTCTACTGTAGTCAAGCCAAACTAGCAGTTGCAAGACTTAAGTTTAAGTCGAAACAAAAGAAACCACAATCGTTCCATCTGGCACTTCCCCATCTGCTTTAGCCAGAAAACATCTCTTAAGATCAAAACAAAAAACTCAGCAATATTAACATCACATCCGACTAAATGGTATTTCCTCTTCATATACAGCAGGTACTAGGTTTTTAGAAATGTCTGTAAGAGCATAAGAATGTGCTGGGACGGAGAAGGGAGGTTCGGGACAGTAATCATTGGAGCTAGGCTTGAAGGGATAATTTAATTATCCTTCATGAAGAGCTTGATCCTGAATATTATCAACATTGGTTATTGTTTGTAAGAGGTCTAGCACTCGTGAATTCATCTAGCATCACGATGGGTCCTATGAACAAAGACCGCTATGCTTTGCATCGTTTCAACAAAGACCGCAATGCTTTGCATCGGTTGAACAAAGACCGATCTGCATTTGAGGTTAGATCGCCCTCTTATTTCATCTTAGTAAATTCCATAGTAGTCCAAACAAATGTGAGATGATAGTGTGCTCATTTTGTGCATGAAACATTAGAGAATCAGAAAATTTCAAATTCCAGACGGCGATCTCATTTTCTCAATTGTAAATCGCGTTTCTAATGGGAGAGAAAGAAGCGGCCAAAAGCATGGCGGTCTTTGTTCAACGGATGCAAAGCATGGTGGTCTTTGTTCATAGGACCCACAGTGAAGAAGATAGGATGTTATCGTCTTTACTCTTGAACTAATTTGTATCTGAATTTGCAGCTCTCTATGGTAGTGAGCACATGAGCCACAACCTGCAGATGGTCTTACATCTGGGAGAACGTGTGAAGTTACTAGGACCGTTGTTTGTAATGACCTGTTATAAATTAGAAGACATAAATGTAAGAATTGCTAACTTTATTCATGGTACCAACCATGTAGTTCTCCTAGTGCATTCAAGTTTGTCAACTGTTACTAAACTGCCATTGATGGTTAGTAGTTTAAAAGAGGGTTAGGCTAAGGAATTTTGTGTCAGCATTTTAAAGCAGAGACACAAATTAAACATGCAAGAAAAAATTTCTTCAGGACTGGACTGTGTTGGGACTTTTAAGAAGTGTAAATATTGGAAATTCTTGGATTGCAAATATTCTTGTAAGTCAAAAGATAGTGTCTGAACCATCTGCTGCGCAGCTTTATTCCCTCCCGCCTTTCAAAACAAAACATGCTGTATGTTGCAAAGTCCTACAAAAGAGGTAAACGGGTTTCCACATATGTGATGCCCACTAAGAACAATAAGCTTTTATGTGGAAATATTGAAGACTTTGCCAGAATCACCACTCCGAGGGGGCAAAAACTCGGGATTTTCGTGTACACATGATTCGGAAAACGCAATGATTCGCATGATTCGCGTCATTCACGTGATTTTGAATAATTTGGGTGATTTTGTCTGATTTGAAAATTTTATCTTGATTGCGTGTGATTGTGTGTGATTATATGTGGTTGCGCATGGTTTTAATTAATTTCATGGCTGATTCTGCCCTATTTCGCGACGCACCAGCGTGATGTTGTGCGTGATTTCGTGTGATTCTGCCTGATTTCGGTCGATTTTAGTGATTTCCGTTGATTTCGGATTGCTTAAATTTTGCGTGATTTCGAATGATTCGCGTGCGATTTCGGGGGCCGTGTACACATGATTGCGCGAGTTTTCGCCCCCTCGCACCACTCGCTTCTGTTCTAATTCCTGTACGTGTTCTGCTCAACACTTTGCTACTATAAGAAAAATGTCACCTCAGCCCTCAGTTCATGGTGTTGATGTTCGTCATATGTTTACTTAAAAATGTAATGGCAATGATGATTCAAATAATTGTGATGAAGTGGGGGTCAATAATTTGCATACTGTCCTTTTCAAAATTAAAGGAAAGGGAGAAATATTTCTAGTCAAACCCTTTAATGACTTTCAGTTGAAGTAAATGGTCTCTGTTTGTTCTGCAATGAAAAATGATGTACCTAAGAAGAAAGCTTTGTGTTTTTTCTTCACTTTGATAAAAATCCTCGATCGAACAAGCATCTTTAGATGGCAAAGACAGAAAGAGGAGGGGGCGACGGCAAAAAGGGGGGGGGGGGTTCAAAGCCAGATTTGAACCAGCAGCGATTTGGCACGCGACGATGACGTCATAGTAAGGAGCTATCGGACGATGTGGCAACACTGCCCCCAACCACCCCAAAGGTCCCTAGATCTAGCTGCTCATTTGCTGGTCCAAGTAGCGGAAGAAGGGCATAACTCCATTTTGCCAATTTTTCAGGAGAGAAAAAAAACCTCTTAGCAGGGAAAACTAAACAAATGAATGTTGTATTTGATAACAAGTTCAAAAGGCACAAGTTAAAGTTTGAGAAAAATATCAAAATTGTCAGGTCGCTCCGTAGAGGATTTCTGTGATTTATCACTTTCCGTTAAAATGGAAAATAGAGTCATCTCACTCAACTTATATTTCCGAAAAGGAGTGGAATTTTGAGACAATTGAAACTACAGTAAGCAAAATTTTTTTGTTATTCTAGTGTAATTTTCGGACCTAGCTCTATCTTACATAGTTATCCCAACAAAAAAAAAATACGATTTCAAGAAATCCTAGGAGTCACGAAGTCAGTTTGATTATTGTGTAAGAGTGTGGAGAAAGAAAAGAAGTGGTGTTGTGAATTTAGTTGTGGCTCAGGGGACTACCAATGGCAGTGGTACCAATGTGCTCGATGTACCACCCGTCGAAATTTAAACTTGACAATAAATAGAAATCAAAATGCTGGTTTATTCAAAAAATTCCAATGCTAATGTATTCCGCAGTGTTCTGACAATGGAACATCTTTGAAGTCCATCATTATTAAAATGTTCTTAGCAGAAAGAAGGCAGTAAATTAATTTTCACGGGTTGGCAACAATCTTCTCGGCGTCTGCGCCCTTGCGAAAATCGCGAAGCTGAAAGCACCAGCAGTCGCGCATTAAAACTGCCCCTCCATTGTTGCTGACGTTGAATTGTTTGGCTTGTTTCAAAAGGCTATGGTTCTCTAGTCATGTTTTCTTCAATTCTGTGTAATACTTCTCACTCACAACGTATCAACAACACGACGGTTGGTTTAACAAACTTCATAAACTCGGGAGGGAAGGTTTCGAAACGCGGGTGAGTCTTGTTCGAGGAACATGAGCACTGCAAGTCGCGAGGTGGAGCGAAGTGGTCCTAGTGCTAACTGAATCACAACAACAACAAAATTGTTTCATTGACAGAAAAAAAAGTATTATTTGAGAAACTTTATGTCAGAAAAAAAGAACTTTTGTTTTGCTAATTTTTTGTGAATATTTTTTTAGAAAGTTATCACATAAAAATTAAAAATTTGTTTTATATGAATTTTCATAAGCAGGAAACAAAGAAAAAACAAAAAAGAGAGCAAAATTAATACAGATTTCAAATGCTACAGTTGGTTAAACTGTTAAACAGGTTGCAAACCTACTGCGCATGTCCAAAAACACTCCGATCAAGAAGTATTATTGGATAGTTCTACCCGAAAAACTGCGTTCGAACCGACACCAATTCTAGTGTTCCATCTTGTCTACCTGCAGTCAAAGAAATTTTTCACTTCGGACGTGCCATTTCAGCTTTTGGAGTAAGCTGTACAGACCCAAAATGAAGCTCGGCTACTGGTCCGCCCCGGCTCGGCTCCCCCCACTCCCTTTGACAAGTCGAGTTTTGCCATGGAAACGGCGATTTTGACAGCAAATTTCTCAAAATTGGCCGTTGACTTTTTAACCAGATTTCAGCATGAGAATCAGCGTTCAAAGTTCTACAAGTCTGCAAAATCTCATAAAAATCGTATAGAAAATTTCCGAAATGCATAAGGGGCCACACAAATTGAATCTCGGGCCGGCTGAATCCTGGGTATACTATAAGGCTACTTCGTGCCTAAAAAAACACCAAAAATTCTTAGAGGGCAGTCTGAGGCTTGCAGCCCTTTCGAGACTGGTGCATCAGGGGAATTTGTGCCTACTCCAGTGCGTCCGCCTGAGCTGGTCTGATGTGGCCTTATGGCACGGCACAGTGAGTCCACGGCACTTGCCTGCAGACGACGCCGAGGCCGATGACGCCGTGCGGGTAGGCGCACAGCAGGTAGTTCTTGTCGGGCGGCAGCTCGGCCGTCTTGACGAGCCGCACGGGGAAGTAGTCCCGGAAGTAGTTCCAGAGCACGCAACCACGCACGAAGGACCAACCGCGGCCTGGCGAAACCACAACCACCCATTCAAGTCATTTTCTGGCGATCACCTTCCGATTCAAGGCGCGTTCACTTAGAACAGCTCCAGCCAGACAAATAAAAACACTAGGCCAGGGACTCCCTTAGATCTGGCTCCCTCCCGGATTTTTTGGTTCCTCTAATGAATATGAATTGCCGAAACACAAAAAGGGCCGGATTCAACACCGATTGGCTTTTTGGTATAGGTCAAAAAATCCTAAAAATGGCTGTTTTGAGGGTTTGGGGCTTGTGGGGATAACGGAACCTGCTGGCCAAAAAACTACCCAAGTGTCTTACCGAAAGAAACAAGGCGCTCTTACGAATGGCGTGTCGCACGAGGCTCTACGACGTCGCGTTTGCACGCTACGGGCTCTCAAAGTTGCTCAATTTCAATATTTTCACTGAAGATTTGAGCATTACAGGGCCGTTTGACCGGCGGACGCGATCGAATTCCCAGACCGTGAGCTCCATCTATCTGCAGGTCTTAAGGGATCCTGTGCGACCCTCCCGGGATCTCAAGTGTTCTTACGGGATCCTGTTTAACCATACAAGATCTCGTAAAACTAGACGGAATCCTGCAAAATTAATGATACAGGATCCCGTAAACCACACAAGATTTTTAGACCTGGGGCACCTTACAAAACTCATAAATTTCACATTTTAAAATGTTTTTTAGGTTTTAATGAGCGTTTTAGACGACACACAACGCCAAAATCGTGCAGAAAATAAGCGAATTTTGAGCTTTTCAAACTTGTGAGGACACAGATTTCGGTCAAATTTGTTCATATGAGTACACATGATTCGCCCCTCGTGCCGAACTCGGCTCGTTGACTTACCGTTCCTCCGACCGCCCTGGTCGCCCGTGTTGCGGTCGAGGCAGAGCCAGGCGAGGTAAAGCAGCACCGGCCATCGCAGCACGGGGTGCAGCAGGAGCAGGGACGTTGTCAGGTACAGGATCCACGGGCCCACGAAGATAGTGAACATCCACATGGCCACAGTCAGCGTCTGCAGGCGGCGTGACAGGGGCAGCAGACCCAGCGGGGCCCACCGCATGTCTAGCACCATCGCCCTTTCGGCTAGGTGCCCACGCCGCGACTAGCACCGAAACGAATCGACTTACCGACACAGATAACGGCTGATCTGGATGCGTGCTTAGTCGGATCAAGCCGTGGCGCGGCTGCCAGGCCCTGGCCTTGGTGGAGCCTACTCCTTGACGCGGCCAGGGGGAATGCACCGCAGCAGCATCGCACCACACGTGCAATGCGTCCCAAAAATGCCCTATGCTAATGCACGAGATGACATTGCACTTCACGCACGATGTAAAAGCATTGCGCCAATTGGTGCTATGAAAACGTCTTCAAACGCATTGCACTCATAGCGTTTGGATTCTCAGTGTTCGCCATCGAGAAGTTGCCTTAGTACGCAGACTGAGGCCGGTAACCCTTCCGACATTTATACTGCCAGCAGGCAGACTCCGAGACTCGTTTTCAACGTTCCACTGTGCAAAAAATGTCTTGTCAATGCCGCTAATTTATTACCAATGTTTGCTGTGAACTAGTTCACTGTGATCTCAGTCACAGTGTTCACTGTGATCTGGCCACAGTGAACGCCGTGAATTGGAGCCTGATTTGCAGTACTTCGGTGCTCAGCGGCGTCAAACTCACAGAGTTTTCTGTGGTCCAGATCACAGTAAACACCGGGAACAAGATCACAGTGAATCGCGTGAGCAGATCACAGTAAACACTGTGAATTGACCTACAGTGAAAACTGGTAACAAATTAACGGCATTGAAGGACAGTTTTGTTACAGTGTCACTGGCTCACACAATACTCTATGGAAATATGTCGATAGTACCATTGACTTCTCGTTCAGCGCGCCATCCTTTAACATGTGTTCGATGCGAGGCATATTAACACTGATAGAAAAAAGTACAGAAATTTCACGGAATATGTCTGGTCAATTTTTTACCTGGACCGTCCGTACCTTGCCAACCACGGAGGTTCTGTACATGTTTTCTGTACCCGTTTACATGAGATCCTTATGGGGACCACAGAGAACCAGTACAGAAGGTCCGTACCTTCTCCGTACCCGTCTGTACCCCATTTTCCCGTACATTTTCGGTACCAAACCACGGAATTTTTTGCAGTGAAGATGAGAGACCTCGATCTGTTAGAGAAACAGAGGGTATGTCCCTCTGGTCCGCCATCTTGAAACTCCCACTCTTCTACCCGTCCGGCTCGCCCGCCGTCGACTCAAGCTTGAGAGAAGAGAGAAGGGAGCCTTGGAGTCCCAGCTTCTAGCGCCCGGAACGCCGCCCGACGGCCTTTAACACCAGCCTGATGCAGCTGGAATTTGTCGCATCGCCTTGCGTCGGGTCACCCTGGATTCAGGAAAGTCTGACGCGGTGAATGATGTCTTCGGTTTTATTTTTCTTCTAACAGGAAGGAAGCCCGATCGAAATGAATTCACCCGTAGGCCCGCGGACAGAGCTCCGAGCTCCGGCTCCGGCGCGGCTGGCCGACGGCTGCCCCCACCCTGCCGCTCCGCTATCCCTCACCCAGCGGCGGCAGCAGTAGTGGTTACTTTGTCTCTTCAGGACACCTCAATGGGCGATGCACTGGCTTAACACTGATACTGCGTGCAGACAGCCAGATTCAAGAGGCGGCCCAAAAGATTCTGATAAGGCTGCTTTCTGTTCGGCTCAGAGGTGCCCTTGGGCATAACCCCATTTCCGTAAAAGTCATACCGAACTTCTCAATGATTTTTTCGTCCCACCGGAAAAATAAATGTTCGGCATTATCGACGGATCCTTTGGCAAAAAATTTCCAGCAGTAGCTTTGTTAATGACGTGGTATGATTTGCTAATTTGGTTAGAATATAGTCAAAAACAATAGTTAAAATATTTAAACGTTGGTATTGTTGTGAACCCGAAGGTAGAACAGGAGGCCGTTTAAATCAGGGAGTGGATTTGGTAAAAGATTGGTTGTATTTTAAACAGCAAACAATAAATAATCAATAGCGCGCGAGCTCGTCCGTCTGCCTAACGCGTAGATGCTCTCTGCTCCAGGGCCAGCCAAGTCCTCAGTGAGTGGGGGAAACTAGTCGCTACTGGCGATTCCGAGTACTGCCAAGTACAAAACGGGAATAAGAGAGGGAAATTTCTATCCTTGTTCTTTTGAACACATCTTTTTTTTGGAATCATTATTGGATTTTCTGCACTGCTGTTCCATCAGACATATAGCAAACTTGGGAACTAGGTGGGACTTCAGGGTAGAGTGAGTGGCACAAGTAAACCAAGACCAAGCAGCACTTTGAAACAATTTGACTATAGACTCCAAAACCTGAGCCTCGCAAATAACCTTCTTCCAGTGATCAATAAAGGCTTTCTGACAGACCGCAAAAATGCATTAATCACATTAGCAGATGGAAAATTGCGGATACTTTATTTCATGGCATAGTGATCTCGGGATGGGGTAAAAGCCAGATCTAAACTTTTCTCAGTTGTTGTCAGTTGGCTCAGACACTTGTTGCATCCAATTTCCCAAGAAACTCCAAAGACTGTAGGAGCACGAAAGAAAGTGGGTGCCTGCCTCTTAATCTTGAAGAGTCTATCATCCATTTTCTTAAGCAAGGGTTGATTTCCACGAATCAAAGTTTCAGACAGCACAGGTTGTTCAGAGAAATCAATATTTTGGGACAAAAGACTCTTCAGATCCCCCAACAAATAGGAATCATTAGTGAGGCTTAGAAAATAATCAGCAGATTTACAAAACTCTGCAGTATCTCTGCAGCTTTCCAACTTAGTATGTTCAGACACTTCATAGGTAGTTTTCATCGCACCATATGTTGTTGAACTTAATGTTTCCACAGCCAACTTCACTTTCATCCGATATTTACCTTGAGGGTTTACGTGTTTGTCTGAGACTTTTGACATTTTGCAGAGAGAATCATCCAGCTTAATATATTCAATAGTACGCTTCCATTTGGCAACTTTACCAGGTTTGTATTCAAGGTCACTTGGTAATAAATTGTTGCGAATATTCTTGGTTGATTATGTGAGGAATATCCCACAGATAAACAATCCAATGACCATCAATTTCATAAAAAATTTCATCTTGATCGGGGCTGCTGGCTTTCAGTTCAGAAATGGCTCCTCGGATTGTGGGCCCTTGATCTGACACTGCCCTTACCACGTCACATAATACAAGGTAGGTGTACGCCAGACCGTGCCTTGTCGTAACAGTCCTCACGATGCTGCGCCAGTTTCAACAATCCACGCCTGGCGTATACACCTGCCTTGGCCTGCGGCGTTAAAGGCAGGCTATTCAGTCAACCGTAAAAAAGGGGGGGGGGTGATCCCCAGAAAAAACAGCTTTTGGTGATCTAAATCCACACAAATGGGACTGAACTTTGGGTCGGCGGTCAGATTGGGTTCTTTTTTCGTCATCAGCACCCTCAAAAACATAGGAAACACTATGAAACTGACAAAACGTTGGAAGTACCTAAAGAGTTGTATTTTTTCTGCCGTTTTTTAAGAGTTTATTGGTGGTTAGGGTGGTTTTAACCGCAGGAATCGAGATAGAAAGCTGAATTTTGGTGTGAGGTGAGCTAGGGATGTAATGACACTGCTTTTACAAGGTAGGTTTACGCCAGACCGCGTCTTGTCGTAACAGGCTTCGCGATGTCTCGCGGCCTGTTCCTCCAATCCGCGCCTGGCGTACCTACCTTGGCCTGCGGCGCTAGCGTGCCTTCGGCAGGCAATGGCTTGTCCGTCGTCGGTTACGTCTAACTTGCTGCGTGCTGGCAGGGGGCGGGAACGGCCTAGGAAGCGCGTTAAGCCATGCGCGAGCAAGGTGCAGGAATTACTTACACTACAAACCTAACTGTCTACTTAGTACAGTGTACAATGTTGAAATTCTTTGAACTATACAAACGACTAAAGTTCCGTTTAGGAAAGTTGCTTTGATATTAAAAAAAATAATTTTAAAGTAAGGACAAAAGAAAAATTTACCATTAAGTTTTGAAATGGTAAAAACAGTGAAAAAATATTATTTTTCGATTTTGGAGCAATACAAATTGTAAAAAAATTGTATAGAAGAAGAGATTCCAGAAATTAAATCAAAATATTGATGTTACAAGAGGGGCACTTCCCTTTCGGATTTGTTTCACATTTAATTTTTCTCTTCGTTGCAGGATCATGAGTGTTGGAACTTGAATCACCACTTAAATATTCATTTGAATAGGGTACTTCGGAGAAAACCCAGACCGGAAGTCAGCGACAGAACGGGAGAAACAAAAGAGCGTCGTCAGGCCGTGCTGAGCGGTGGTGGGGGTCGAAATCGGCGGGGTGGGGGCAGCATGCGCGCGCCGCCATCACCCCCACTCCGCCGATTTCGACCCCCACTACCGCTCAGCACGGCCTGACGACGCTCTTTTGTTTCTCCCGTTCTGACGCTGACTTCCGGTCTGGGTTTTCTCCGAAGTACCCTATTACGCAAGAAATGATAAAGGGACCCCTGACAATGACAAAGGCGTTGAATTTATAGATAATAAATCAACAGGTGATGAAACAATTTCTTTGAATGCGTGTGACACTTTAATTGGTGAAAACACAGATGAAATGGACTTTGAACCTTTTCCTGAGGTAATAATTGCGGTCTCTTTATGTCATACCTTACAGACTGTAACGTATGAATTGTTGTCGTGATTAAATTTTAACTTTGTTTGTCTTTTATCATGTTCCCTTTTTGCTTTTAGGACAACACTTTCATAAAACATCCTCATAACAATTTCAAATTGTTCCCTTACACTATTCTTTTTTGTTATTTTCCTTTTCTTTTTTCAGATAAACTCAGACAGATCAATTGGGACTTTCGGCACTTCTGACACATGAGTTTTCTGACTCTCAAAGTGACCACATAACAATGGATACCAATTTTGAAATTGAAGAAGACGTGATACCTTATGAGTCCTTTTCAAATGATATTTACGTTCCAAAAAGATTGTACCCATTGAAGTTGGACTCCTGTCCCCTTGCATGTAAGTCAGTTGAACTAACATATAAAGAACGTTTCCTCAAGATATTGTAACATGACATATTCAAAACATTTTTATTTAAAACAAAGTCTGCCACGACATTTGTCATTTAGTCTTTCGTGTTTCCTTCTATAAATAACCGGAAAAGTAGTGATATACATCGGCAACTTTGGCCCGTCCTGTGCATTGAAAAACGTTCGAATTTCGCCTATGTTTGACCCTGACGGGAATGAAACCTTAGTCTGGGGTTAAAATAAATGTCGTTCGCGTCATAAGCACCCTCAAAAACATCAGAAACAATACAAAATGCGAATAAAAAGAATGTTCAAAACATACCCCGCTGGGTTTAAACCAGGCTTCGAACTTCTCCAATTCATTCGAAACTGGCACTGAAACCGGCAAGGGTCGGGTTGGTTCTGGAATGTTACGCGAGGGAACTAGGAGTCCGACCGAGTCGCGAGGGACGGCCGGGAAGTGCCGTGGCTGTGAAGAAAACGTGAAATTTGCCAAAAAGCGGTTGTTTTCACTTTGGGAGCGATGCGCCACCTGTAAATCCAGTCTAAATGCTTGGGCAAAAAGAATTTATTCCTTTCTTTACATTAAGAACTTATTTTTCAAGTGCCCCGTGCGTTAACAGAACATGTAATTTTTCGCGGGAAAGTCAACGAACGGACGCACAGCACACGTCCCTCCGTCATTTAAAAAAAAACGGGACGGGCCAAATACCGATAAAATTCACTTATAAATTCACAAATTTTGAATTCTTTTTAATTGAGGGCATGGCTTCTTTCCGTAAAAGATTTTAAATTAAGAGCAAATTAAAAGCAAAAACTTTAAAAGATTATTTAAACCTTAATGTTACAAGGTAGATTTACGCGAGACCGCGTCTTGTCGTAACAGGCTTCGGGATGTCTCGCGGCCTGTTCCTCCAATCCGCGCCACCCGTACCTACCTTGGCCTGCGGCGCTAGCCTGCCTTCGGCAGGCATTGGCTTGCCAATCGTCGGTTGCTTCTTACTTGTTGCATACTGGGGGGCCCCCACATCCCCCTTCATTCTAGATAGAGTTGCTTCACCTACAGATAACAAGACCTTGACCCTTGTAACTTTCTAACTTTTCGCGGCTCCGCCCCCAGACCCCCCTTCTTTCGAGGCAGAAGTGATCTGCCTGCTAAAAACTCGATTTCTCGCCGTTTTTCGGTGTTTTACGGCTATAAAAATTTAATCACGTGACCTAGGATAGTGAAATTTTTTGTGTGGAAAGCTTAGGACATACCTAATGAGCCTGCAAAATCTCACCCAGATCGCCTGGGCCGTTCAGCAGGAGTAGTGCGCACACTCACGCACGCACACACAAACAAACACACACAGACAGACAGACAGAAAAAGTTTTTCAACCCCACTGGAGTAATGGGCTTCGCTATCGCTCAGCCAACACAAATTTAAAGCATTCTGTTTTTTCTTTTCAGATGACATTCAAATTAAAGGAACAAGAAACCTTGTTAAGGAAACAATGACTGCAACGTATATGTGGGCAGCTTGTTTTCGAGGCGAAACTCCTCAAAAAGTGAATTCGAAAGGAGATAAAACCAACCACCCACTGCGATACGGTAATGTGTCAATAAAATGCCCCGATTGCGATGCACTTTTTTGGCCAGCTGAGAGGCTTACTGGCCGCCGCCCGTTTCTCAACACTGAAACTCCATCGGTATGTTGTGGACGAGCCAATAGAGTATATGATTCTATTTATTCAACCTTACAAGAGCCATCACAGGAAATAATGGAATTGTATACTGGCACCTCGAAAAGAGCAATACAATTTCAAAATAATATTCAGTTTTACAATTCAGCTTTGGCTTTGGTGCAGCCTGTGGTTCGAAGAGAATTTAAAACTCACCGTGGAAAAAAAGTTGTTTATTTCAATGGAAAAATATCGTACATTGGCAGCTTATTTGCTCCCAATAATTTAGAAGCCCCTAGTACGGCAAGAATGTACTTTATTGATTGTCCAGAAGATGCCGTGAATGCCAGGATTGAGCGAAAGACTTACGGTAAAGGGGTATTGGATAAAGCCACTTTACTTCTTCTCGAAAGATACATGCGTTTGAACAACCCATATGTTGGTGTCTTGCGACACGCATGGGAGGTATACCACGACGAGGACAATGATTCATCACTAGATGTAAATATTGTGTTTAATCCATATCCGTACGGAGATTACGGAAAGGTCAATCGAGAATTTATCAATAAGATTCGATCGGATAGCCTCTTCAAGAACCGTCCTTTAGGTTGCGGGCTGACAGCTTTGGTTTCTGATGTATCAGCAAACATGGGATACGACTTTATTATGACTTTAAGGAATGCCCCAGCAGGCGAGACATCCGAGAGAAATGTCAGGTCTGATAAATCCATCATTGATCCTCTGTCTTACCCACTTATTCATCTGCATGGTGAAGATGCTTTTATTGAGTCCAAAAACAGAGAACGAGGAGCCCTTCTCAGAGAATATTACAATTATCGTCTGATGATACGAGAAGGAAAATTTAATATTCTTCATTGGAGTCGACGATTATACCTTGGTAAGTTTTAAAGTGAAAAACGAAATATTCTCCTGTTTGGTATAGTGTTGCATGGTACAACGTGGTGTCTCTTGCAAATATCTGATTCTTTTTGATCCATGCACCGGCAAACAAAAAGACCTCAATTTCAATAAAATTTCTAGCACAATAATTATGAGCATACCAAATTTGCAAATAATTCCTATTTTTCTCTTCTGCCGCTGCATGGATCATTCATGTTGTAGAATAACTTCAATCTATTCTGCCCAACATATCAATGCCTGTTTAGAAAAAATCGTTTATTTGTTGCAGAATATATTATTCAAGCAGCTGTAGTGTAGGGCACTAATAGTGATGAGGAACGGATAAGTGACGAGAGAGAGTAGGAATTCACAGGTTTATTAGGGAGGTTTGCACAGACCGAGACCAGGCTACAGACTGTTGACCGGCGCTGAGGCGCGATCCAATTTATAGTCTGGGCAACAGTGACACCTTGCTTGGTGGGTGAGTTCAGAAAGAGGAGTACTGTAAGGCCTTGGCCAAGAGTGAGGGAAGCAAGCCAGAGAGGGGAAGAAGACAAGAAATAAAAATACTGACTGACACTTGTTTAGCTCTGTTTTAAACCGTCAAATCTCTACACCACTCCCCCTTTAAAAGAATTTTCTCAAATTGCTCCCTTTCCTTCAAAGTTATCACTTCTCCTTTTAAAGTTATCACTTCTCCTCCTTTTAAAGTTATCACTTCTCCTCCTTTTAAAGTTATTACTCCACTCCTTCTTTCAAAGAAAATTGTAAGTTGCCCAAACTTTGACATTCAATTAAATTTTTCTGCGTCACCTTGAGTGTTGAGCTGAAAACAATATCACGTCTAGGCCCATCTGACTCAAGGTAAGGGTGTCCAGTCCTTCCTTGACACGCCATCAACGATCAAACAAAATTCATGATCCTCTTAAAGAGTGGTTCAACAGCAACTCCCATGGCACGTCCAAAAACTAGTTAGGGACGCCATCCTGGGGTGCAACCATTTAGCCTGATCATTTTAAAATAAAGAAATGTTACAGAAATGGATTATTCCTTCTGTGTTGGTCTTGTTGACTCTAGAAGACAGTTCTAGAAGAATTCTCGTAGATTCTCCTGTAACACACATAACACTGCGCACAGAATTTTGTAACCTAATCCCCTCTAACTAACAGTTGGGGATAATGCCTTGGTGTTGCAAATCCTGACTAGCTAGCTAAATCCTATCTAAAACACCAGTTTTGATCTAAGAAGACTAATTAACACCAATGTTTTACCACACTTAACTTGGTAACTGTCCCAAGGCCTCGATGACTTGCTGTTGCACTGTCTCTGGAGATCCTATGGCATCCACAACTGCATGAAGTCCTGGTTCGTTCTCCATCCAGTTGTCCAGAATCAGATGAAGCTGTTGGATGTAATCCTTGGACAGTGTGTTCTCTTCATCCCTTGCCCTTTGTTGGATCCTTTGGTAGGCTGTCGTGGCACTGCCTCGAAGATATAAGAAGTATTCCTTTCTCTTTGGCTGTGTTGTCAAGCAATACATACTGCTCTTCGTTTATAAATCCAGCGTCTTTCTGCGTTTTAGCGAACATCTTGACCACACTATGTAGAGATCGCTCTGCGATGATGACAGGATTTTCTTGTTGTATAGCTTCTAATTGAGTCTGCCACAATGTACTGAGCACCATTGATTGAAAGGTAAACGCCCACTTTTGCATATCTTGAGTGTACAATTCCAGGAAATTAATCCCATGATAGTTTGTCCACTGGGAAACTGGTTCTTGCACTACAAGGTATCCTTTTTCTTCCAAATTCTTCAGTAACGTTGACTTGCCAACTCCTATGTTTCCTTCAATGTAAACAATCACCGGCTGTTTGACAGCTGTCTGCTTGAATTTGTTGTACCATGGCTGCCGACTTAACCAAGCAAGCGCCATGTCTGCGTCTCTTGGCTGTCAAGTGCCGACTGACCATAAGGCTTGACCGGGCAACGGCCCGCGTGTTATGCATTCCAGCACGCATTGCCTCGGTGCGTTCATATCGAGTGCGATTGATCCGCATGAATGGCTATTGTTTTCACTGGGTTGGCTACCCTGTTCGCACTGTTGCTTCGTCGTGCGCGTCACTTCGTGCCGATGGTGGGGTCAAGTCGCTGCGCTGATTGGCTCCCGAGTTCGTCGACGCTCGCGTCAGTGGTGGGGGTAGAGCGGCTCTTCAGGACTAGCGCTCCGCTCCGTCCGATGTATTGCAATGGTCTAGTGGGTAGCGTGTGTGACTCCCAGCTCTGGAAACAGCGGTTCAAATCCTTCACAACCACCTTCACAACAATGTCAATTGGCAGATCGTCTGACCGGTTCCGCCCTTCAGTTCACTCGAAGGCGGATCTACAGTCCGAAATCTTGGACAATAATTGCCGACATTGGCGTAGGAGTGGTTGGGGACGTGCAGGAGTGCGCCGCCTTGAGCCGTCCAGTTGGTACATGGTACTCTGGAACATGGCCATGAGCATCGCGCCGCTCTGCAAGAGCTTGTGCCGCCAGGAGCTCCTGTTAGGGGTACGCTTGAGGTGCTGCTTGCTGACGATGCCGATGATGTGGCCTTCACTTCAGATACCGTGTGGTGTTCTCCATCTGGCTCACCCCTGTCACAGACCATAGTAGTATTTTGCCTCTGACTCTTACAACTCTTTACTGTGTCCGACATTCCAAAGAGCCTCTGCTCCTTGATACTTGACTCCGGCTTTCCTGCCATTCCATTACGGCCTGTCTGGCTCGGTGGTGGTTGCAGACGCCAGTCGTACCAACTGTGTCTGTTTAACGGTCGAACTTCTTTTGCTTTATTCTCTGTGACTTCTTTGTTTTTGAATGTTGACTCTCTTGTTGTCTTTTCATGTCCATTCTTGGATCTTTCTTCTCGCTTGGTTCTGGCTTTTAATTTTGCCTTGTAATTTTATCGCGCGTCCTTTTCAAACACTTCCTGTAACTTTCCAATGTTGGTCAATCTGCTTGTTCTCTCCTTGTCGCTCTGTTGGAAGGTGGCCATATTGGTCTCTCTCTGAACTTGCAGCTTAGACCGGGAAAGATTGCCGATAACTGCATGTCGAGAGGCGATTTGTGCTACAAACTGGCAACAGGCGGTTCTGGACTAATTCGACCCCGCTGAAAACGATGCGCCCTGTTGCCAAGCTCGATTTTTGCATTTAAGCCCCTAAATTCAAGATGGCGTCCAAAATGGCCGCCAAAAAGCTTGTTTTTCTAAAATATCGAGGTACGCACAAGTGTCGCTGTATTATTTTTACAGTTTAGGGGTAAAATAATATTAGGCACATATTCTGTAACCATTTCCAACCATCTGCACATTTTTCAAGGGCCCAAATGACACGATGGCGTACGAAAACGTCAAAATACACCAAATATCCGTGTTTTGGAACGGTTTTGTCCTCCTCTTGCTCGTGATTCACGTCCAATGGCAGTTCTTTTCAATCTTCATAAATTTCCACGCTTTGGGAATATAAGTGGTCTAATGTGGAAGGGTTTAGTTGCTAAGATGGCGTCCGAAAACGTCCATAAGTACGAAATATTGCTGTTTTCCCGGGTCATTTGCCTCATTTCGTTCGGGTTTCGTGTTCGATGTCAGTACTCATTATTCTTTTGTACATAGTAATTGGCAGTTCTTGTCAATTTTCGTAAGTTTCCACATTTTGAAAACGTGCAGGGTCCAATGGGGGAGGGCGTATGTGTCAAAATGGCGTCCGAAAACATCAAATAACACGAAAATTCGATAATTATTAGTGATTCTGCCTTGTTTGACCCGTTGTGACGTGAGTTGTCAGTTCTGTCACATTATGCATGTGGTAGAGTAGCGAAAGCTCCAGGGCGAACAATCGATTAAACGAGCAAGGGGCCTAAATGCCCCACGTTGAAACGAATGTGACACGTTCCCTTGAGCATTGTGTCACATTCGTTTGAATGAAAATAAGCTAAGTTATGGCTGATTCACGTCGAAACGAACGCGACATTTTGTCACACTCGTTTGAACGTTACTGGGATGAGAGTGTTTAAAACGTTCAGAATTAAACTTAGTATCGGTTTGTCGTATCTGTGGACGTTTCGCACCCCACCATGCGGCACTACCGTAAACCGGGGTAACTTGAGACAGCAAGGGTAACTTGAGACACTTCTGCTTTTCCACCTTTTTAGGAGGTGCCACCTAGCTCGGCACATTCGGAGGTCAAAACTGCCCTAGCACGTGTTTCATACTTGTTTGGAAAGACGATTAAGCGTTTGAACGGCGGGTTAGGACCAGGCTCACCACTTTCATAACGATTTTTCAATTTTAAGAACTTTAACAATTTTAGAGGGGTGTTACGAGTCTCCCTTGGTACTCGAAACAAGTCTTGTTTAGACTCAAATGACTGCAGTACACTAAGAATCCAAACGCTATGTGTATAGCGTCAATTGGTGCGATGCAAAAGCATTGCACATGAAGTGCAATACCTCCCCATTCCCATGCATTAGCATAGGGCATTTTTGGGACGCATCGCACGTAAGGTGCAATATGGCTATCGCATTGCACGTATGGTGCGATATCTCAGCTGCATTGTACCGTACCATACGTGCTATACTCATAGCGTATGGAATCTCAGTGTATTTCTCAACCCTATTATTTGAACATTCTAAATGTATAATTGGTTTTGAGGGGAAGCCATCACTCATCGGGCAATATTGACTTTTTTTTTTAGAAAATGGTAACTGTACGGGGTAACTTGAGACACCAAGTTTCATCGAATTTGACGGAAGTTCAGGGGCGTAACACCCGTTTATGATGACTCACCTCCGTTTTAACATCATAGCCAAGCCGCATTTGACGGGAACTATTTTTTCACACAGTGTAGAGGGTCCCAAGTTGATATGCAGCTTAAAGTTGGAGTGTTTTCTCAACTACGAACGGACCTCATGAGACACAATAAATCTGAAGGTCAATATCGAGGTACGCACAAGCGTCGCTGTATTATTTTTACAGTTTAGGGGTAAAATTATATGAAGTACACTTTGTGTAACCATTTCCAACCATCTCCACATTTTTCAGGGGCCAGATCGGTTAACCGTTCCTCAGTGTTACCGAGGGATGGTTGTTCGCTTGGGTCCTCCTGGAGTTGTAATGGCTAACGTAAGTTTTCACTTTTCTTTAATTCCGTGTTTCATTCCTTCGTACATCCTGGTGTGTTTTTGTCTACACAGCGATAAAAATGGAGGAGATCAACCTTAGGTTCCTTGAACAAAACCAACATCTTCTGTACCGATCAACTCGACAAGAAGTACAAAAAGCTTTACAAAGCATGGCTGACGGGGAGAAAAAGAAAGTTGGAACCGTTGTAATTAATCCTCAATCGCACGTTGGCAGTGTTCGGTTCTACAAGACATGTCTTCTTAAATGTCTGGCCATTGCCGAAGAAATAAATGTTTCCCCAACTTACTTTGTCACAAAATCTATTGTTATTGAAAACAAAGAAATTATTGATGAGTTAAAAAGACAAGGCCAGGGCCGTGAGTGGGTTTTGTTCCGGTCCGATCTAATGGACCGAAGCTTTAAGATGCGAATGTTAACATTCATAAATGATTGCTGTGAAAAATCAGTTCTTGGAAGGTGCCTGGGCTTCACCGGCGTAGTTGAAGACAGAGAAAGTAGTAAGTACTAAACTGTTAGCAATATTCTCTAAACGATTCAGTGTACAAGTTAAATAATAGAAAAAACAACAAAGTTTATAATTAACTTTGGCGCATCCCGCACATTAACAGATGGGCAAATTTTAACTGCCCTCAACATTCTCTATCACACTCTTTTCTATTTAAACCTTTAATTAAGAACAAAATCCTTTCCTTATTTATATTTTTCTTGTTTCAGCTGTTCCACATTTGCACATTGTGCTCTTCATGAACGATGCAGATGTTCCACAAACACCTCATCAAGTTGATACTATAATCAGTGGTGAGATACCATCAGATCCAGAATTAAGAAAATTAGTTCTTTCTCATCAAATTCACAAACCCTGTTCAAACAATGAAAGAGCCCCATGCCGACAAAAAACTGGAACATATGACTGCGCTTTTAAATTCCCGAAGAAACTTCAAGACTGCACAGTAGTTGTTGGGAATAGAGGAGTTTTTGTAAGAAGACGTCCTGGAGCTTCGGTTTGGCATGCTCCCTCAAAGGCTTATGTTACAAATCAAGATGTTGAAAGCTACGATCCAGCTCTTTTGATGAGAGATCCATCTTCACAAAGTATAAAAAGAGTAATGAACAATGGAGTTTACTCTTACATGTTTGGGTAGGTCTATACTTTGTAGAGTGTAAGTTGCGGGTCAAATAAGTCTTCTCCACCTGTGCCTTAATAGTCGCATCTGAGGCCAGAACCCAAACGCTATAACAGGCGACCGTAAAGACGGTTTCAATGACGCTGTCAACGCAACTTAAAGTGACACTGCGACTGACACTACAAGTGACACTGTGGGTGACGCTGTCAGTAAAGCTGTACACTGTACAGTTAAACTGTGTCATCGGCCATGTCACTGACGGAATCACTGACGGCATCTGTGATGGCGTCACTGACGGTGTCACTGACGGTGTCACTGACGGCATCGTTGATGGCGTCATTGATGGCGTCACTGACATCGGCACGGACAGCGTTATTGACGGCGACATTGAGAGCTTTATTCACATCGTCACTTACATCGTCGCCGACAGCGTCACTGGCACTGTGACTGACAGACTCACTGACATTCACTGTTAAAAAAATTCTTAAATTTAATACAAAATGACATCTTAATTTTAATAACCTTTTGAAAGGATATGAAAACTCATAAAGGTTTGTGAAGTTTAAGAAAATTTCTTACATTTACCAAAACATTTCTGACAAGTTATGAAAATATTGGTAACTTTCAGAAACTTTATTAAAATTGAAAAACAGGTTCATAAAATTTAAGATTGTTTGCCAAATGCCATTATTTGTTTCTTAAAATTAAAAATTACTATAACTTTTCATATTTGATTCTCATCCTGCCAGTTAAAATTGTGATCATTGGACGCTTCACTACCAGTGTACGTAAAGAACAAATTTGGATGATCTTGGTCATGTGAAGTCGTGTTTGGAGGCCCTGGGATGAGCGCTTCCGCTGCCTAGTGGAGTCTCCGCCGAGAGGCTTGGAGTCATCC